TCAGTCAAAATGACTATTTGAACTGTAGGCAGAGTCAGACCCCGATAGGTAGCGGGTTTTCTGAGCAAACAGAAAATGATGAAAGTCTTTTCCCAGTCCGGAATGAAACAATCTACAATAAACTTAAAACCTTAGTTAAGACTCAAAAGGGGTGGTGTCTTACCTTGCCTGTGCTGTCCCCGGAGCAAGAAGCCAAAATGCTGCTACGGTGACAGGGTTTGGTGTGCCCGAGAAAGCTAGACCCCAACCCAATTCTGGGGGTAGTAAGCTTTCGAAGTAAAGACCAAAACAGTTCTGCATGAGGGCATAGGCCGAAAAGCAGGCCCTGGGAGATTCCAGGGAGTGCTGATGGTAGAGAAATCTGTCCACATAAAATGCCGAGATTGACTTATTGCCTATGCGCAGGGACCCTTGTGGTCGTTCAGGCTGGGTCAGCAAACCAAGACTGACTCGCTACAATGGGACCCAGCCTAAAGAGACCTTCCTCAATGGATTTGGTGTCTGTTAGGTGATAGTTGATAAAGACGTTCTGTGTTCTCCAGGAGCCTGCCCACCAAATTGTATGGTGTCTCGGCGTCTGGAAAGCAGTAAATAGTCTCCTAATAATAGGACAATCGGCTAGTCTTGTTCCCGTACGTTCTCAATGGTGGGGGACAAGGCCGATCTGTAGCCAACTACACAATGTATCGCTGCGTAGGACAAACCCACTTCGTCAAACAGGTGGACGAAGGAGCCTGCTACCTGGCCAATAGAGGGATTGTATAAATCAATCTCCCTTCTGCTACACCAATCAGTGTATGCTCGCAGCCCAGAAATGTAGGCTGCATTGGTGGAATCCCTGTTCGCCCTGGCCAGGACGTTGGCAGCCCGCTCAGATAAAGCTTTCGTATGTGCGGGTCTAATGAGAGCCTCTATGCGTGTAAGTGATACCTGCTGGGCTCGTTGGTAGTGCGCCGGTTGGGACGGCAGGGCCGGTAAGTCCGGAAGCACTACTGGTGTTTCGACTAGCATTTCCGAAGAAGTGGAAACTAGACCTTGTTTGGCAAATTGGGTGCGACCAATGATAATATGCAGGTGTGCACCTGTCGAGGTTTTCTCCGGTGCCCGGTGAACTAGCGGGAAGGGAGGAAAAGCGTACACAACTAAGTGGGTCCATCGGGTTAGCAAAGCGACCCTGGCCCAGGCTTCTGGAGTCGGCAGGAGTGTTACGTACGTTGGGAGCTTGGCGTTACGGGGTGCGGCAAATCGGTCTAACCTTGGACCGTCCCTTCGAACCGAGGTCATCATTCTGATGATCCGCATTAGTTCTCGGAGGGACACTGAGGGAACGCTGACTAGGCATTCGGCTAGGCTGCTTAGCACTAAGCAACATGCTTGAAAAAGCTAAACCAAGCTTACCTCTGTGTCAAAACTCCATGCCTAGGGACACCAACTGCGCGTTGGGTCAAGGTGGGACTTGTCAATTTACTAACGAGCCCAACTGGTTAAGTAAATCCTGTGTTAGCCTAACGTGTTTGGCTATTAACCCCTTGTCTGGGTTGTGTAGCAACCAGTCGTCTAGGTACGGATTGAGGTGTACTGACATTTGGTGAAGCAGCAGCACTACCTGTTTCATCACTCTGGGGAACGCGTAAGGCGTTGTGCATAACCCGAACAGGGGGCACCCGAAAATCGAATACTTGGCCCAGCTGGGCGATTCAAAGGAGATGGCAACTCGCTGGGTGCATCGGTATGTGCAGGTAGGCCCTGCTTAAGTCTAGTGGGGGCGAGCCAGTTAAAACGGTGGATGGAGAGAAGAACCCTGAATGGCGTCTTCATGTGGAACCGATCAAGGAGCACGTACTGATTCAGTCTGCCTAGGTCCAGAACTGGACGCCCGCCACTTGTAGATTTTGGTACTACGAACGCATTTGGGTAGAAGCCTGGCCTTAGTTCCGGCTGATCTACCCTGTGTATGGCGCCCTTTCCCAGCAAAACTGCTACTACCTGCCTGATTGCTTCCACCTTGCGGGAGTCCCCTGGCAGTGCCCAACAGGGGAGACACTGACGGGGGAGATGGAGATTTCAGCGGTATCCCTTAACAGGTTGTCACCAACTGGAAAGGTCCAGGCTTGGAGTAGTCACTAAGTTGTGACCTGGCCACTCGCCGAACACATGCCTGTCCCCCCGGTTGCAGAGGTAAGCGTCAAACATGCTTCCCCCCCGCTGCCGGGGTGGACGACCGCCCAAGGAGGGTTGGGAGCCACCACCTGACCCTTTCCTCTCTGGGGGCGCGCCGCTACTCTTCCCTCCCATGGAAGGGTATGAGCGCTTGCCTCCTGGCTGACTCTGGTTAACGGACGGCGCCCTAGGGCATTTTGTGTTTTTCTGTGCTTGTGGTGCCCTCTGCTTACCCTTGGCAGGGCCAACTGGCTAGCGAATTCAATCTGAACCCTCAGGTTCATTGCACTCCGAAGCTTCGAGACTGTACCTGCCATTCCCCGAACCAAGAGGGTGGAAGGTGTCCAGTCTGCGTCACTGAGGTGGGGGGAGGCTGGTGCGTTCCGCCTCTGAGGTCTCCAGAGTCCTGGGCGCGCACAATAATGCGCTCAAGCAACTCTTCCGTCTCTGATTGAGCTGGTGAGAACGCCCATGGAACACGGCTGTCCCCCTTTGCCCGGTTTGCCAAATGGAAATTCGTGGTACCGGGGTCTGGGGAAGGAGCCTTGGGACCCGGCTGGGGGTGTTTTGGTCTCATCCCACACTATGAGGTCTGATCCTGAAACCACACCAACTGGGTAGCGTTTGGTCCAGCGGGAAGTGTTGCCTAAGGTTTTCCCCACCCGGGGGCCTTAAGCATTACGTCCTCCGTGGCTGACCAACGCCCGCCCATCAACACAGTTTGCATGCCCTGCGCCCCACTCGGATGGACAGGGAGAGACGTGTCGACAGGGTTGCTTTGGATTCGGACGCCCGTGATCCCATAAGCGTTGAAGCAACCTTAGGTGGTCGCCTTAGGATCAAGGGTGGGGGTATTCACATCGTATCACTGGGATCGATGATACTCCGCATCACCCCAAAAGCGTGGCTCACCAAGTCATTACGTATGGAAGACTCTGAGGGACTGCCCGGAGTACCGGCTGTATCCGACGCGAGCGAACTGTGTCTTTTCACTTTAGATATGTGAGAGGGAGTGTGTTCGACTGTACGTCTCATGCCAGGGTCGGTTCCCTCTGGGGACGCCTGTGGGTCAGTAAGAAGGGATTCAAAACCCACAGCAGAGACCGGACACAAGGATAAATTCGTTACCATTGTACCGTTACCGCGTGACAAACCCTGGCTGACTGAAAGTAGGGGGGGGGTCAACGTGTGCCCTGCCCTGAAAGCCCTACCCCGAGATCGGAGGCTTGGCTGCCAGCGCACCTTGTTGGCATTCAGTGCCCGAGGCTCCAGAGGAGACCCAGTGCAATTAGCCTAAGCCTCGGCCTCACCCAAATTAGTGGGAGAGCCGCAGCTGGGAACGGGGGTCCTCCGGAAGAGATGTGTTTGAATGCAAACATGCTTTCGTGTTTCTTCCTGCTTGCCCACGTAGGGGCCGCAGTGGAGACAGCTCGCTCCGACTGCGTCTGATCTACCCAGCCTGCCAGGGACGCAATTGCCCCGACAGTCCTTTGACCAAAGCCATCAACTCGGAGGCAAACCCGGCGCCATGCAAGGAAGGGTCTACAAGGGGACCTGCAATGGGCCCCAGAGGAGGAAAGCCTCCATGGGCACAGCCTCACTGCAGCCGGTAATGCAGTTTTCCCACCCAAATCAATGGTAAAATATCGTACTACATCATTGGTAATTCTCTTCGTTCTACATTCAATAAGGTCGCTGAACCCTCATTAAAAAATTTACGTTAGTGAGCAAGGAAAAAAACAGAATAAAAAAACATTTTTCAAAAAATATCAGAATATTAAATATTATTGTATACTTTCCAAATCGGTGGTCAAAATTTACTGTACGCGATGCATTTGCTGCATAATATTGTAGAATACTTTATTTTCGCTTGGAATTTATTTTCGCTGTTTTCGCTGAAGGGATGATTCCGTGAAAATAAAATCCAGTGAATATACTTTTTTCATATATATTTTACATTAAACTCATCAAAAATCAGTGAAAATAAATTCTACACAAAACACATATTCCACAGTATCGGTTTATGGGTAAACACGTCTTTGGTACATTTACATCCCAGGCTGGGTGACATACTGAAAACAAAGGATTTAATTTGCATACTGATTTGTTGATCATCCAGCTTTATTATATTCGTTATGTGATCGCATTCAAAACACTAACAAACATTCTAGATATAGTAGTAGTGTTCAGGCTACACGAAGTGTGGGCTAAAATTTAAACTGATTTAGGCTTATCTCACATGTTTGCATTTCGGCTAGACCCAATTGCGTCCACGCACTGGGAGGGCAAGTCCTTAGCATGGGTTAAGGGGCGCCATCAGTCGATGACCTTTGTTAAGCCACTGTTTCGAAAAATCCCATCACTTCTAATTTTGCTTGCATATCCTGGTAAGCATTTGTTCTGTTCAGGATTTCGTTGTCTTTCCATATACCCAGTGAAGCTTTTGTGTCTTCGTCGCTCCAGTTTTTGTGAGGGAACGAAGTTTCGTACACACTGAGCTCGGTTGCCATTTAGGAAATGAGAAAGTTGCATATATTTGATCATGTGTATAGTATTCACATCCAAAGGTCGCCACACAGGGCACTCAGCCCTGGGCTAAGCGTTCGCGCGCAGACTTTGTTAGCCCATGCTAAAGGTCTGGAACGTGTCTTAAAATCGGATCAGATTTTACCAGTACTTAGCATTCCTTAGCCCGTGTTCATACACGTTTTCTTAGCACGTGCTAAGGAATTTGACCTTTTAGCCTATGCTAAGGAGCTGTGCGTGAAAGCAACTAGTATTTAGATTTCAAGTTTTTGTCAGTGTTTTTTAAATAGGAGTTAAATTGCTTCTTTACTGGGCGACATCCAACATTCTGATAGGATAATAATTGACTTGACTTAATCAACAAAATTAACACCAACATACATACATAATACATTGAAATCATTTTTCATATTTTTGTTATCATGCTGTCATACTACAGACCCGCTAGAAAATATTTACGCATCTGTCATTTGATCGTTTTCAGAATTAAAAATAACAATTCTGGGTAACATGATGTGTTGTCTTTAAAATATACTAAATTTAAGAAGAATTAGTGCATTTTAGTCAAAATAAAATGGTTGATTTGTGTTTAGTTTTTTTGTATGTAGACGTTTTTTCAGTGAGCGAAAATCCCAATGGTTTAATCACTCTATGGGAGCGCGCTCATTTGCATATCATTTGCATCTCATTAAAACTTCGTGTCATAAAACATGTGCGATAGTCATGTCCTTTCTCATGCAAATTTAAACCAATTGGGAAGCTGAAATTATTTCAACATGCGCTTCTGGGCGGGAATACCTGTCAGTTGTAGTTCATGAATATTCCTATCGAGTTAATAGTATCAGATACGTAATTTTTTTTTACAAAAATTGAGCCATGCCGAAAGTTAGGGAATTTACCAAAGGGAACATTGAAGCACTGTATACAGAAGGAGTTTCTAACAGGGAAATAGCAAGAAGACTGGGAATTTCTGAAGGCTCCATACGTTTCAACCTGCGAAAACTTCGTCTGCGAGGTAGTATGGGCAATCGTTGTCGATCAGGTCGACCAAGACGTACAACTCACTGAAAAAAGATTGACTTTGAGCACTATAAAATCAAGACTATACAAGGGTGGTAATCTTCGCAGCTGTGTTGCTAAAAAGAAACCAAAACTACAACCTCGACACATCACAGCGCGGTTGCAATTTTCCAGACAACACATCAACTGGACTCCGGTGCAGTGGGCTCAAGTTATCTGATCGGACAAAGTTTACGGTGTTTCGTAGCCGTGGAAGACTATTTGTACGTCGGAGACCAGGTGAAGAGTACGAGCTGAAATGCATTAAACCTACAATAAAATTTTGTGGTGGTAGCGTCATGGTATGGGGATGTTTTTCAGCTACCGGCTTGGAGTCTGTGTACCGACAACCATGAACCGATGGAAATATTTGGATATCCTGCAAAACAAAATGATACTGTCGGCAATAAGACTCGTTGGACCCAATTTTCATTTCCAACAGGATAATGCCCCTGTTCACACAGCATTGGCAGTACGGATACAAGAGTACAGATACGAATATTTTTTCGACAACTTTACCACTTTGAATTGGTCTGCACAGTCTCCAGATTTGAACCCTATTGAAAGTTGATCGATTTAGAGGTGCATTCCCGACCAGTCGCTAACATCAAGGATTTATACGCGAGTATAATGGAAGCTTGGGGACAGTTCCAAGTGAACATGTGTCGGAAACTCGTCTATACCTTTCTAAAACGGCTCAGAGAAGTCATCCAGCGAAGAGGTGGACACACGCATTATTGACATTCGCTGCGTTCTATTACTCCATGAATATTCATGATCTTGCGTTTACACGGCATTCTCCGTACAGAATTTGATTGTTTTTACACTGTTTCGTTCAGACTGCCGTTTTTTATTCAATCTTGCATGCCAATTCCAATTTTTTGTTTTTATTGTGTGTAAAACCGCATATTTTATTAGATATATAAATATATTTATTCAAATCGTTTGAGTGTATTTTATTGAATGATATCGTAGGTAGTAACTGCATGTAGTGTGGTGCGTAAATACTTTCTGGCGGGTCTGTATTTATATATAGTAATTTTACAACAGTTTGTGTTTCAGAACCAAATTAAGGTTATTCACAAATCATTCACTCTTTCCTCATGCTTAAACTAGGGTGACGCCTAAATTCAAGAATTCACAATAGTTGTGAGGATAAGCAATAAAGACTTACATTATCTCTAAACTCACTTTTACTGGATGTTGATAAGCTTGTCTATGAAGACGAAATCTTGTATGAAACATTTCATATGCGTTTTCCACTTCCTGTAATACAAACAAATAGTACTTTAAGCGAGGGAGTCATCAGCATGCCGTAATTTTGCGGCATTTCACGGGGTAATTTCATTGTACTATATTAGGAAATGCGAATTCCAAATATTGAATGATTATGTGCGTAAGTATCCTCTAATAATAAAAACAAACATGGCTGCCACTAGGGTTTGACCGGGATACACACAAAGAAGTTGGCTGATTTGGTTCTAAACATTTTGGATTTCGGCATTCTCATATCATATCATATCATGCATACCTGCAAGCAGCAGAAAGTAGAAGAGTTCTTACCTTGTCTCGGACACAGATGTGATGTTTTCCAGTCTTCTCACATTTCACAACCCTTGAAAATGTGATGAATCTTTTGTAATCAAAGTTGTTAGCAATACCAAGATTCAGACAGTCTCTGGCAAAGTAATCCCATTTGTCCACATCTATACCGTTTGTCTCATTAGATACGATCTAAAACAATAACCATGCAAGTTCACTTTTCATAATTTTTTAATGGGTTTTTTAATATATTTTTCATGTTCCTGCATCGCTGGTGTGAAAGCAGATGTGAATGCAAAGTGAAGCCCAAATACCATTACATCAGTTGCAAAATGTATTTTAGAGGCATGGTCAACTTTATTAACTTTTCACAAATATGGTAATAGCTGGTGCAATATTTTTGACACAATTTCTGTTAAATAATGAACATTGGTGATGTATGACCAATGTCTCAAAATTCACCTTTAACAAGACATGAATGTCACAGTCCCTGTCATTTAATTATAAAATACTCATGTTAAAATAATACATGGAACATCTGCAAACAATTGAATTAACATGTACTCTATGTGGGTGCAACTCATCATAAAGTGATTTCCCTTAATCTGATAACTGAAAACTTTCATTGACCCGGGTCCAAAATCTCAGAGTACACAAGTGCAACCAAACTATGTCTCATACATGCTCAAGAAACTGCATTCATAAATCTGAGTAAACCTTGATGTACCTTTAATAACAACAATTCAGGTTATTGTGTATTACCATGAGACCTGGGGTTTGTTTCAGTATCACGACTATAATTCCCATTAAAATGTAGCCCTGACCCCCCACTACAGTTTCCACTGAGATTCGTAATGGTATGACCCATTTATCCACTAGCTGATGACAACTGAAGCTACCGGTATATTTAGACCACAAGTTTCAATTTGCCTGGCCAAGATTTATAAACGTTTTTTTCACTGATCTTCAACTTTGTGACTAGGTATTTCAGTGATGACTCTTTATAAGGCTAGACTTTTTTTATTCATTGTTTCTCGAGTTTTTATAAGGCAATTTTTTTGAGGAGGGTGGAAAAAAATTAAATTAAATTTTGTTTCCATTAGATTTGTGTGATTCTCAAAGAATTGTAAGTGAGATCATTGATCGGAATGAAGAAATGAAATAAAATTTTATTCCATGTATAACCTTGTTTCTCATCTGCGCGGTACTTTGATCATGATACTCCCACGAAAATGCAACTTGGATTTGTTATGCGGCGGGCAGTAAAAAACATGAAGATAAAAATAATATTTTTTTAGCATTTTTGTGTGCTTACAAGTCGGCGGGCGCGAGAAATTACGCTGAAATAAAATTCTATTTTTATTTCATTTTTGGCTCCTGTTCATTCAGCGGGTTCACGAAACAAGGGATAATAAAAGTCTGGCCTAATGGCATATAATTTTTACTATTTAAAGATATATGTAATATACAACAACATTTCTGACCACTTTTTTCAAGATTTCAGTGTTAATTTTTCATAAAACCAAACTGTGGTCCATTTCTGTCACTGATTCAGATCAAGGTCATGACATCACTGAAAACCCTAGCATTACCATCTAACCTAATTATTTATTCTGAGCATGCTCAGTTGTTCTCTCAGTGTTGTTGGGAGAGGTAATTTTAGATAAAAATTTTGAAAAAGACCCATTTAGGATTTTCAGATCTGGAAAAAACAAGTCATTGAAAATGACACAGTCCCCGTTAAGTTCTCTTTGTGCTCGTCATATTAAAGCGGAGGGGTTGTCGCAAGCATGTCCTTGAAACTTGAGTTCCAAGTGGCGTATACAACAGATTGTTTATTTACATCAAAACACTTGTTTCGTGTCAAAATAAAAACAGTCGTTATTCAGCCATCTTTGATCTGATTATGAAACACACTGATATGTATGATGTGTGTGCCAAATACGAATGAAAATGGTACATAAATTGTGGAAATATAGTAGTAAGGCCAAAAAGTCAGATGGCTGTCAATCGGCCATCCTTGACCAGATTTTGAAACGAATTGTCATGGACATGCATCCTAACATGTATTAAGTACATGTACGGTATGTGCCAAATTTGAATGAAAACTGACAGAGCACGTCCAAGATACTGCATAAAAAAACAAAAACACGATGCCTGCCAGTCGACCATCTTTGATCCAATTGCAAAATAAATCGTCATGGACATGTATCCTAACATGTATAATCTATGTACCAAGTTTGAATGACAACTGACAAAGCATGTCCAAAATACAACATTTTCAAAAAACAAGATGGCTGCCAGTCGGCCATTTTGAATTGAATCGCTAAACCACTGCATGTGCATATGTCCCACATAAGGTACTAGGCACATGCAAAGAATGAACGAAATCGGTCCACAGGATTCTGAAATTTGACGTTGGATAGACTGACACACGGACAGACGGACAGACGGACACACAGACGGTCGGACAGACAAACTCAGGAACTCACGGACAGTCGGGGACATGTATCCTAACATGTATGATCTATGTACTAAATTTGAATGAAAACTGACAAAGCATGTCCAAAATACGACATTTTCAAAAAATAAGATGGCTGCCAGTCGGCCATCTTTGATCCAATTGTGAAATAAATCATCATGGACATGTATCCTAACATGTATAATCTATGTACCAAGTTTGAATAAAAACTG